GGATCAGAATGGCAGTCTCAGTGCTACAACATCAGCAGGTTTTTCATTTACTGAGGTAAGGCTAGTGCTCTATATGAAAAGCATGCTCTGTCCAGCTTAAATTTGAACGAGTTATACGAGATGTGTTTCTAAGTGATGCAATATTTGCTTTTCTTCATTGATGTGAAAGGAAAATTAAATTATTCTGTGTATCTTTAGTGAGATATTCAGACTGATATAACTAACTATAGCCACTACTTTCTCATTTATTTGGAAAGAAAGAATGACAGCTTGCCATCATCTCCCTGCACTTCCATACATAGAGATGACTGAAATGACCTTATCAGCAATAGTTCCAATAAGGTTGTTACATAGAAGATTTGGATTATCCTGTAGATAAATGATGTCTTTGCAAAGAATTCTTCTGTCGAGAACACAAAATCATGCACATCACTGCACCTCCTGCTCCAGCAGGGAGACTGGACTAGATGGCCTTCCAAATTCCCTTCCAATCCCTGACACTGTGATTCTGTGACTCCATCACACCTGCATGGAGTGTATTGAAAATTCAGGATTTAACTGCTAGCAATTTGAGATTTGTTACGTACTGAAATGTAAAGAGAAATTCTGACTTCGCCAAAGTGGTGAGAAGACAATTCCTTCCTATAAAACTGTAATGTGTTTGAAGGCCCTATTTTCTGTATTTCTTTGTTCTCTTTGTTCTCCCATGCATCATTTTCTATATGGGAGTGACTCCAATCTCACAATAGGTTCTTCTTTTGAATCCTGATGGCAGAGGAGGGAACCAAAGGATGGATTTCACTTCTGGGACTGGCACTTGGTGCATGTTGGGTGGGGAGCTCTAAGATAAATAAACTGCTTCTGCAGTTGAGGTACCTCAGGGCTGGGCAGCATCGTTGCGAGTACTTGTGGACCAACTCTGAGCTCTCATTTTCCTCAGTCCCACTTTGTCTGATGACATCTTTCCTGAACTCAGTTGCAAGAGCTGAGTCTTTCACACAGATCATTCTTCTTCAGTACATTGCCATCTCCTTCCCATCAGCCAGGCTAAATGTTGAATTCCCAACAAAGAAATCTGAAAGTTGCCCATCTCTGGTCTGAAAAAAAAAGCTTAGTATTCCTTCTCACAAGTGTGCTCTTTGTTCCTTCTTAGCTCTGAGTTCTTCACATGCAGATCCAGAATAATACAAGTTTATGTACTCTAAGGCAAGACAGGTATTTGTTGTTTGATGATCATTTCTAGTCAGATCTTTACATTTAATTTAGTGGAAAAAGTCTTACATTGAAAAATAAAACATTGATGGATAAAATTAAATTCTGAAATTTCCAAAATATATCTGTCAGTAAAAGCAATGTAAACGCTGGGTACACTTTCCTGTCAGTGTGAGACAAGAAGTCATCACTGGCCATAGCTGTGTACACAAACTGTCCACGGATCACCTGCTCAAAGACTTACAGGGTCTTAAAAATCCTAAAGGAAGAAACTCTGCTCCTGTCAGTGTGATGTAAAGGTATCTGACTCCACCTGCTCCCTCTGCTGACCCCATCTATTGTGATGCAGATGCCAGAATGTAGAATACACCTGTGATTTGATTTACCTCAAGGCTTAGTGGAGTATTTATGAATGAAGATGACTGCATGATTATTACCTCTCAAGTAGTAACGGCTTCTTGGAAACATACGCTGTTATTAATACTACTTTGATGTTTCAGTGGCTGCACTAGTAAAAGATAACTTTTAATAGTCGCATTAAGAAGCCCATTTTTTAGCTGATTGAGAGTTGTTCCAGTATCCTTGCAGATATACAGGGGTATCTCTTCCATCTGAGTCTTTATCCCATTAAAATAAATCACAAAATAAATTCTTAGATTACTAATACTACAGACAGGTTACAGTTCATCATAAAGTGTGCAATTGAGAAAACACATATTAAGCATGATTAGATTAATGTCATTGGGCATTTAAGCGTTGCAGAATATTAAGTTAACTTGTGCTGTTGCTGTATGTACTTTATGCATATATCATAGGGTTAGTTGTGAGTATTCCCAACATGAAGTGTGGTGTTTCAGGAGTGCAGTAAGGCAGTAAATGTCAGTTTTATGAACAGTAAATACTGGAGCATTATTCTGAAGCAGTAATATCAGCCACTGCGGGAATTTCATCCCAGGATGTGACAGGAAGAGTCTGACTCTTGAATGAATGGTTCACGGCAGTCTCCAGCTGACTCACCAGGGGAATTTCTTTCAAGGGAGTTTACACAACAATTGAGGAGAATAACAGAAAAAGGGAAAGCTGGCACAGTGATCTATCTTAGATACTGAAATTCCTTGAAGATTTTTTTATATACTGGAGTGATTTATCAGGTTATCTATCTAACTGCCCTGTCGATTTTTGGCCCTCCTTCAGCAATCTGCATTGGAATCTGCTTTAGGGAGTGAATAAATAAAAATCACTCTGAAGTAAAGCAAAGCATGAGCTGTATCCTATCAGCTACTCCAGAGGAAATGCCCATGGCACGGTGCAGTCTGTGGAGGTAATTCACATTCCCACAATAACTTCCCAAGGGATGTGCAGACATATAATCAGGCTGCAGACTTTTTAGCTTTCTCTTGCTTAACTGTGGTAAAGCATGGACTGAAGACTATAGAAGCTGTACCCAATCTTGCTCTTCAAGGAACCTCCAGTTAAACCTAAGTAAAAGATGGAGCTCAGACCACAGTATTTCTGCTTCTGTGCTTGGCTGCATGTCTTGGCAGCGAAGACTTCTTAAACCAAAGCTGCAGAGAACAAAGCATTTAGATGGCACCTGAATGGAGTTGTGTATTTATCACAGTTTGGATGTAGTCACCACAGTTCTGCCCACACTTTGCTTGGGGTATATACATATTTTATTGGATGATCTTCCTTAGGTCTTGTTTCTAGTAATACATTTTTCATGTACTTAATGTTCCTTTCATAGGGTTTTTCCATAGATGAACTACACAATCTATCAGCATGATCTATGCAAATAAGGTTTGTAAAAGGACAGTTTGTCCAGAACTGACATCTACTGAGTCATACACAGTAGTGGCCAGCATTTTACAGCACCATTATCTTATTACGTCTACTAGCACGCACAGGGACACCCTCCAACACAAAAGACAGCTCTCCATGAAACTCAGAAATATACATCATCGTGTCTAAAAGGCAGTTTAAGACATGATTCCCAGAGAGAAAAGGAGCTAGTTGCTCTTCTTTCCTGTGGCGTTGATCTCTACTCTGACTTTGTTTCAACGTGTAGTGAAGTCCTGCCACTTCAGGGCTTCAGAAATTACATCTAGTCCTGCTTAGTTATAGCAATAACCAATTCATAGCAAAGTAAAGTAGATGAAAAAAATAGAAAATTCGATTAAGGTATTTTAAGCCTATTCCATCTTCACTGAAATAATTTTCCACTGGTTTGTTGCTTTCAAAGTCAGTTCTCTCTTTTATAGTAGGCAAATAGAATGTTACTTGTCTGACAAAGGAGCATTAAAAAGCTTCTGTTAAAATTTGATGAATTCAAATGCTAATATATCATCCATACCTGAAAAAGATGGGTGAGAAAAGGCTGGATGAATTTTTTCTTCCCAGATAACACAGGAAGTTACGAGAGTTGGAAGTTTTTTATACAATAAGATGGCTCAAACCTGGCCTCAGACTTGTATGCAGAAGGTCTTACATTAACTTTGGTTGTTTGGCTAATCTAGAATGGATTTTATTTTCAGAAAAAAAGTCATCAACTACTTTTAGAAGGCATTTGGGTCAGTTAAGATTAACACACAAAAAAGCATCTCTACATCCCAGGATTTTTGTCAGTGACAGGAATTTAGCAACTGCCTTGTCAAACTAATGTGCAAAAACTAAACCAAAACTGTGTGAAGTCCTGGATTGGAAGGTTGGTATAGAAATATTGCACAAAAGGTTTTTGTACCACACTGAAAAGGAACACATCTTAGTATCATCTGGTCCTAACAATTCTGGCTTCCTTAGCTGCTTCTTTGGCCCTACTATTCTGTACCTCTTCCAGTCATATCCTCTCTTGAAACAACAGTGAGCTTACAATTAAAGCATGTTTCAAGTGCTGCCTTCAGAAAAGGGCATAGCTTGGCCTTGGTTATCAGCTCAGCGCTACACAGCAGACAACCCCATGGCTGGAGCACCCTGCAGTGAGAGCTGGAACCCTCCCAGAAGCACCTACACCTACTAAGCAGAGAATCTCTACTCATTTCTCAGTCTATGTGACTGGGAAACGTTCAGAGTCAATCAATTTAACTGATGTAGGACAGGCAGACAAGATTGCAAGGTATCAACTTCACAGAATCACAGAATCACAGAATTGTAGGGGTTGGAAGGGAGCTCCAGAGATCATCGAGTCCAACCCCCCTGCCAAAGCAGGTTCCCTACAGCAGGTCGCACAGGTAGGCATCCAGGCAGGTCTGGAACATCTCCAGAGAAGGAGACTCCACCACCTCCCTGGGCAGCCTGTTCCAGTGCTCCGTCACCTCACTGTAAAGAAGTTCTTGCACACATTTGTGCAGAACTTCCTATGCTGCAGTTTCCTTTTCCCTTGTCCTGTCTCCACTCACCACTGAAAACAGTCTGGCCTCGCCATTCTGCCCCCCACACCTCAGATATTTATAGACCTGGATCAGGTCCCCCCTCAGTCTCCTTTTCTCAAGGCTGAACAGACCCAGTTCACTCAGCCTTTCCTCATAGCAGAGATGCTCCAGGCCCTTCACCATCTTCGTGGCCCTCCGCTGGACTCTTTCCAAGAGATCCCTGTCTTTTTTGTACTGGGGAGCCCAGAACTGGATGCAGTACTCCAGATGAGGCCTTACCAGGGCAGAGTAGAGGGGGAGGATCACCTCCTTTGAGGATCACCTCCTTGCTAATGGAGATATCATAATGCTGCTGCAGTGTAGCACTGCTATGTGCTTTCTTAAGCCTGAGGTTTCTTGTAAAACTTCCATGAAAAACAGTTGTTATCAAAACATATTTTATTTTTAAGTCACTAGAACACAGTAAATATCCCCCATTAATGTTTCCATTTTCCTTTGCAGTCACAGAAAGTCATTTCATCTTGCTTCATCTGTCATTGTTTAGAGGCCATGAAATTTTACTTCAAGGTTTGTGAGAAACTGATTTTTACAAAAAGAGGCATTTCTGACAGAACACTTCTGCAAATCTTGTACAAATAACTCTGCGGTTAACTGAGTTAGGAAATCTAGAATCATTTTACGTCAGGTGGAACAGGTGGCGTTAAAATTCTTCTTCAGCTAGTTTGGAACGAGAACATTTCAGTTCCAGCAGTCTCTTCACAGTATCAGCAATTGTACGCTCACCATGCACCTTGTTATCTCTGGTACGGATGTTAACTGTTCCACTTGCCTTTTCCTTTTCACCAACAACTAGGAACAACCAAGATACAAAAAGATGAAATCACCACTTAAAAAAATTCTCTTCCCACCAGTTCCCTTAAAACACTGGTATATTTAACGAAAATTCTAAGTTAGCAACTAACATATGCTCCCAAGTCTCCTAGAAGGTCCTCCTTCAAAGAACTCCAACTCAGATTTATAGCAGCCAATAGCTCTATCACTCAACAGACTTTAGTATATTATACACTTTATTTATTCATGTTTTGCTAGAAGTAAACTGAATAAGCCCAGTTTCATATTAAAGAGAGCCAGGAAATGAAAATGAGAAGAGTAATGCAAAAGCAAACATTAGAAACAAAACCTGACCAAGAGCTATTAGTTTGCTTGTTCTTTACAGAAAGAGTAAGATAGTTTATTAGCAAAGTCCAAAGGTTTGCTAATTAAACACTGACAGATACCAAGACATATCTCTATGTGCAGCACTACTGATTTATGTAATGTACTTGGAGATAGCTGCAGGATTGCATTTCTCCACTGAATGGGAGATTCCTCAGCTGCAGCTGCCTAACAACTCTCTGAAGCAGCATTTGGACTTAAATCAGGTAAGATGTTTTTCCTGGTACTCTCATCATTTGTTTGTGGTTTTTAAACTAAATTCATAATCACAGTTAACAACCTGAGTGACAAGCGACACTGGTTTTGACATGTGTCTCCACACTGCTGGCCAGAAAACAGAAGAGACTTTTTCTAAAGCAGCAGTAATGCCTCGGTCCACAAAACAAGTATCTTTTTCACTAAAAGCCATTCAAGCAAAGAATGCTCATCAGATGTACAGGAGAGACCATCTGGAATGGAGACTCTGGAGGAGCAAAGTGAGCTAAAACACTCCTGCCTGCTCAGAGAACCTCTCTGAGAAGGTCAGCCAGCATAAGGTAGAAACAAATGCACTATACATTACCCAGAATAAAGTTATACTGTGCAAGCTGAGCATTTCTGATCTTCTTGTTCAGGGTGCACCCAGGATCTACATCAATATCCACCATTAACCCAGCATCATGGAACTGCTGTCTCACCTAGGAGAAAATGTATTTAAACCGTCACAATAGGGTATTTTGTGATGATGAACTAATTGCGACCTGGCAGTTAAGCCAGTCAAGCTTATCTGACCCTCTAAATCAAGTGCACTATCATCAGCTCAAGCCTTGGAGATGAGCCCTATTCAAAGTAGGAAACGAGGTCTGCCATCATACAAACTGCTAAGCACTGATATGAATACCTCACATTTAGGACCAGTATCTATTTTAATTTGATGCTGTGAATGGCAACAGCATGCTGAAGCTCTTAATTAAAAGTTGTTTGTAAATTTTTATTTTTTAATTTTGCAGGCTATTTTAGATATTTATCTATTTTAGAAATAGAGAAGTCTGCTAAATGCCAAATATGCAGAGAATTTTCTTCATCTTTCTTACTGCTCTGCAAGATGGACATTGCAAGATAGAACTGGAACCTGAAGCACCAAAACCCCACCCCAAATAAACATCTGATATTTGAATTGCTGACATCTATTTTAGTTCCTCTTTAAAATCCATTTACATCTTCAGCAGCTTACTGCCACATTAATAAACAAATGATACATGCAAAGATCTAGAACATTTCCCTGTGACAAGTAACACTAGTAATAATACCTAAGTATTTCAATTAATACAGTATATCTTAAACAAACCAACCAACAAAAACAAAACCATATACTACACCTTTTGGGCATATTCATCACATGTTGGTCCCACTGGCACTACCATTACCTGCTGTGGAGACAGCCAGAGTGGCCTTCAAGAAACAAGAAAAAAAAAAAAGAAAAAAAAGAGTTTTTAGTATTTTTCAGAATGGAAAAACCTAGGAGCAGATGAGACTAAAATCTATGGACAAGATTCATTAAGCTAGCAGCTTAGAATGGCTCCAGAGGCACTGACAGCCCAATATCTACAGTTACAGTTTATCTTCCAGAAAACGAGAGTGTCTGAAAGAATTGCAGGGTGAGCAAAAGTACTTTTTGTCCTGAAGACTAGAGTTACATTTTACACACATAATTGAGCCACTAGTCTCTTTACTAACAAATACTGGGAATAATACTTGAGTCTTGTCATCATCAGTAGGGTCACTACACTGCAGCAGATAAAGGAAATTACCAACATAAACGACTCTTTGCCAGCATCAAACCTGGAAGAGCAAGGCAAGAGATACACAGCTTGTGTATGTTCAAGAGTGGTACCACCTATCACGTGCTACTGTATCTATTACTACTTCATATCTGAGGAAAGGGATTCAGAGAGAATTGCCTACGATATACCTATGGTATACCTCAGTAGCAAGCAAGTACAATAAACTCTACTGACAATTGCATGCTTGGGGCTAATTGCTATTTCATATGAAAGTGTTTGCTCAAACTAGAATCCACTTTTCAATGTTACCATTTGCCTCCATAGTTTTCAGTTAAAATGGCAATCATTCTCTCCACAGAGCCCAGGATAGCACGGTGAATGATAACGGGTCTTGTCTTGTCATTACCGTCGTGGCTGTGAACAAAGTTAGTTACACACATGAACAACAGAAAAGTTAAATTACATAGCAATTAAGAATATCAGACTGTGCCTACCTGACAAAAGTGAGGTTAAATCTAATTGACAGTTGAAAGTCCAGCTGGATTGTAGCACACTGGTGGTAGCGTCCAATGGCATCTTTAATCTGAATGTCAATCTTACGAAACGAAAGAACAAAACTTTTACCAGAGTTTAAGATGAAGCATGCCACTCCGAAAATAAATTCACCAGACTAAGATGGAAGCCTTCACTCACAGAGCACAGTGAAAGTATATGTGGGTTTGGACAACACACTTTGGACAATATTATGATTTAAAACAACTTGTGGATTCTGATGCAAACAATGTCAGACCAAAAACAGGGCGAGCACATGAAGAGATGTTATTTCAGAGGGAACTACAATTAATATCTCAAGAACATTTTCCGAGTTTGCTTGGTTTTTCATTGGACCTTCATGAGTCTTTCACTGAGTAAACTCAGCAGCACATTAAGGGAAGGAGGATAGGTTAAGTGTAGGTTTTGGTTCCAAATTGAGCACTTATTTCCAAAAATCCTGAACACGGGATGCACACTGTATTGTTAAATAATCCACTTACCAATAGAGATCATATTAATTAATGACACATGGTCTTACTAAGAATAGTCTTTACTACAGATAGCTAGTCTATTGCATCTGACACTTTAATCCTGAATACACTTTGGACAGAAGTTAGACAAGACATCTCTAGAAAACAGTCAATTTGTATTATCCAGTCCTTACTGATCTAGTGAATTTGACGTCTTCTTCAACATTTTCCCAGCAGGGCAATGTGATTTTTTTTTCAAACTTAAGGATCAAACAAAGAGATCAGTGTGTTAAGTGCTGAAAGACAATGAAGAGCCTTTCTGAAGTCACTGGGCAAAATAATAACTCATTTAAAAGTTCTGCACTCTAAAGCCAGTGCTTATCACAATTTAGCTACAATTAAAGAAATCAAAAAAGGTTGTAAATGACTTTTTCTGGTAGAAACTCAAAATCATCCATTTACAGAACACAAAAAACACTATCCTGAGTGCAGAGCTTCACTTAACAATGCAACTTCAACCAGTTCACATGAAGACCAAGGCAAACGGCTATGTGTTTGCCCACTTCAACTTACCCTTGCTCCTAGTACTGTAGCTAAAGTAAATTACGGTTAACAAAGGAAAGTGTTCCTGCAGATATTTGCCTCCTTTCAAATGAACTGAGGAAATTACTAAATCTTGTTTGCATTTCACATTATGAATGATAAGCTGTTACAGAACGTTCCACCTACAACCTATAAAATGAAATTGATTCAATCAGCATACAAAGACAAAAATCAGAACTAGTTTACTAGATGAATGAAGACAAACATATATTAAATTTACATCTATTAGGGAAACATTCAGAAGCAATGCTGTAAGGCTTTGTGTCCTCATGCTCAAAGAAATCAGAAAATTTCTAGAAATCTCTTCATCATTACAGCCGAAGAGGAAGCTCTTACCAAGACACACAGACTGTGCAAGGGTCTTTTTTAAAACCAAAACCCACCAGCAGTGCTACAAACCATGTTAGTAAAAGCAACATTTTTCAGAAATCTGTTTAATAAATTTAATTACAACTGATTATTTTTCCCCTCGTGTCTTTTTTTTTTTTTTTTCCTAAGTTGGAATACAGGTTTAGGATTTTCTTCCTGCTTGTATGCTATAGGATTATTGCATTATGATTCATTCACTGATCACCAAAATGATCATTTCTAACACAGCACACTGATCTTACAGTGCCACCTTCTGTTCATATCTCTCAATAAACCAACTCCAACTCAAGCAGCAAATAGTTTTACAAGTAAACTCAGTAAAATGAGTACTAAAGCTACATAAAGGACAAGATCACAGAGAATTCTCTCTCTCTCAAGTAAACCAGGAATTTAGGTCATTGGGAAAACAGACAATTTCAGCCAGAAAGCACCATTTGATGATACCAGATAACTAAACATATATATTAAACAACAACAACCACCACAAAAAAAAAAAAAAAAAAACAGCAAAAACCAGCAAACCCACACTTTCCCTTCCTCTTTCAAGCCTTTTACAATCACTGCTTGTACCAGTCTGTCAGTTTGAGAATCCATTTTGTTCTTTATTCTCCAGCCAAAACTGAACAGCACCAATGCTTCAGAAACGCAGACTAACATCGAAAAATGTAGCTGTAAAGTTATGCTGGAAGCACACATGCAGAGCAGGCTGAAAGTAAAAGCTGTCTTTATGAAGAAGATGATGAATAAAAAACAAGAGCATCACTATTTTCTCTACAAGATACAAAAAAAAACAATGTATTTAATAGCGGCAAGCATCTCTCTCTACTTTTTTTTTTTTTTAAAAAAAAAAAAAAACCTCAAAGCAATTCAGATGTTACTTTGACAAACCCTTCACCCTGGTCAGGTATCTGTCTGAATTTGTCTGTACACAGACAGAATGTCTGCAAACATTCTGTACAAATACACGCCAAACACTTTTCTTTCCAAGAAATTCTACGGTTGGCATAATTTTATGAAGACAAAGACTTCAAATTTTTTTTTCTCCTGGTCTGCTGTACTATGAAGATGAAAATCTGGATGCTAAGATTACAGAAGCATCACTGGAAAAAAAGGAATTGTGAGACTTTTTGCGTACTTAATCCAAACAAAATTAAAACCGCCGCCCAGAGGTCCATTGCAACGCGCTAACCTTAGGTCCATAGAAAGCTCCATCACCAGGGTTCAACTCCCACTTCTCACCAAAGTCATTAAGGCTGTTTTCCAGTTGCTAGAGATAAAGAATATGTGTATTCAGTGTTTCTCACTTCTCACATCAGGTCAGCCTGTTGCTGCAGCCATCTAACACTACCAGACTCTCATTATTTCTCCATTACTGCAACAACACCTCTGCACATTCCTATCAACTCATCTTCTGGAAAAACAAAAGTTTTAGAAGAGACTCAGGTTAAGAAAAGTTCAAATTGAAACTAATGCATACATTTTTTAAGAGGCCAAACAAGCAGCATTAGGTAAGATGCAAGAACTCTTTAGACACAGCAAATGTTGAGGGAGAATCCATTCCTGTTACTCATGTCTGTTCATGCCCCATCTTCTTTCCATACTGTACCTGCAAGGGCTAATGCTTTAGTAATGAAAACAACGTTTTCTGGAAGATGCCTCAAAATCTTACCACAAGAGCTGTTAAAATTAGTTCTTTTCATCCTCTTTTCTTTCCCCCCGCCCCCCTCTCCTACTATTTAATTGATCAAAAACACACAAGAGAAAGGAGAGAGACAATTTGATTCTGACATGGAAATCACTTCTGTATGGAGAGCATACTGTTCGTACACAGCATACTAAGAAAGCTATTTTATTACCCACCCAGAACTAGAGACAGTTATTAAGTTATATTTCTCATGCCCAGCTACCACACCACCTCCTAGAAGGCAATATACCCTTATGGATCTTGCAGCTGCAGTCTTGCTTTCATACAGAAAGGTAATAAAATGATTGTTTACCTTCTCAGCTCGATTCCACACCTCAATATCTCCCAGATACTTTTCAGGACGAGTAGAGAGATTCAGTTTAAAGGAAAATCCAAAGACGTCATAAACAGCACGCAAGAACTGTAGACAACTCTTTATCTCCTCTTCTATCTACGTAAGAATGGAAATACAGTCTCAACTACAGGAAATTCAGCTATTCTGATTTTAATACCCTATTTCATTTACCAGTAGTCCATACCTGTTCCACGGAACAGAATATGTGAGCATCATCCTGCTGGAACCGACGTACTCTAGTGAGTCCTGTAAGAGCTCCTGACAGTTCATTTCGATGCAGAACACCAAAATCAGCCAATCGTAATGGCAGCTCACGCCATGATCTTGGACGATGATCAAACATAAGGCTGAAGGAAAAGTTAATTACTTGAAATTCATCTAGAATCAAAATTCTGCAAAGAACTACCAAAAGGAAGCAGCCACTGCCTAAGCAAGTGCCCACACTGCCAGAGACGTCATCTGAATACAATAATCACTTGTATCTAGCTATCTTTTCTTCCAGGAAAATTAATCAGATATTCTTGCATGGGCAGGAGGATTCCTCCACCTCACACAGTCACAGTACCAACTCCTGAAGTGAGCACTGAAATCTGAATGGCTACACTGCCCCAAAACTGACAATACCCTGCTAGCCACTTTGGCTACTCAGATTTTGCAGCATCAAGGTAAGCTTCAGTTCTGAAACAGAATCACTGCAATGATAGAAAGAAAAAAAAAAAGGCAATTTTTGGGGTCCCAGTAGAGAGAGCTCACAATAACAGTCATAATTACGACACTCCTAACAAGGATTTTTAGTTGTGATTTTCTACTTGTTTGTTGTTGTGGTTTTTTTTTTGTTTGTTTGTTTTTTTTAAATCAAAAGAAAACCCAATGCAAAGATGATGTGCATTTACCAGTGTCCTGGACAGTTCATAGGCTTCAGAGCAAATACTTCTTTCTCCACTTCAAAGGAAAACATGTTTTCACTGTAATGCTGCCAATGCCCTGAAGTCATCCATAGTTTACTGTTGAAAATATTTGGAGTGACAACCTCTTGGAATCCACGTTTTCGATACTCACTCTAAAATAAACCCAGTACATAAAATAATCAATGAGCAGATGAAAGTAATGGTACTCAGACTTTGATCTGCAGTCATGAAAATAGCAAGCACAACTTTTATAGAGTCCACCACTAAAGAAAAAAAAAAAGAAAAAAAGAAAAACAAGCTGGAAATGGCAGCATACCACCCTTCCCTCAAAAATTCCTCTGTTGTAAGCAAGAACAAGTTCCTTCCAACCAAGCAAAGCAGCAGTCTCTAATCATTCCATGACACTTGGTATTACTTTGCAGCCCAAACATCTAATAATAAGACACAGAGATATTTACATTTTGCAACAGGTAGATCAGGATTTTTTTCCTCATTTTTCTAATAATTAGCTGAAGAAGTCCAAGTCTAACACTTATTGAGTAGAATCAACAAGGATCAGTGAAACAACAGTAGAGTGAGCTTAGCTCTATCATGAGTCATCATTATCACTATTTTAACTGCAGCAATAAAAATATAATTTGGCAGACATTGTTAAAACCCCAGTTGTAAGTAACCAGGTTCCTTCAGTTACACAGCTTACATGTGGGGAGCTTAAACAGCCCTTCATTTCAAGTCAATTCATATGTTACATCGTTGTATACTTCCACATTTTTTCTGAAGTTAAGCACTTCCTTCTGTAAGACAGTCTCCAAAAGACATTACTTACCCGGATGAATTCAATTAAGGTATTATATATGTAAGCTCCTTTTGGTAAGAAAAAACAGCTACCAGGGCTGAGCTCATGAAAGAAAAAGAGTTCTTGATCCTGCAGAAAAATACAGGAAAAACTTACTACTTGCGCAGCCATTTTTTCCTCAATAAACATTCACAAATGAGTTACTACTGGTCACCACCAAGGGTTAAAATAAAATAAATAAATAACAATAGACCAGTTGCATTTCACTAGTACTTGTATCCCCATTACTACAAATACAGGAAGAAAACTTAATTTTCTATTCTACTATCAATACCCCAAAAACTCAGGTTTATATGCAATTCCTAACTGCACGCACACAGCACCCTTGTCCACTGACAAAAAATATTTGAATAATTAGAGCTGCAGAAGTAAATATTAACTATATATTTGGACTGTAATTGGCTAATGTTGTGAAAAATTAAGCATATGCTTCAAGATTGCATATAATGTACTCTGTTCTTTTTCCTGATGTCCAAGCAGTAGACCTTTTAATAGCATTCAAAGCTACCAATTATAAGACGTGGATTTCCATCTAAAAAACAAAATGAAGAACTAATGAACCAGAAAAACTCAACCCCAAAACGTACTATAGATTCTAAAGATCAGAAAGAAGGCAAAACTGTGAGTGAAGAGGCTGCAGCAACCCAGGTAAGAATAAGCACTGCCTGCAGACTAAAGAGGTCTTGCATGCCAAAGCATTCATATAATATCTTGGTTAACCTGTTGAAGAGGCTTTTGCTCTGCATCATTTGCTGTAGGACTTCTGACGCTTTTAAACAGAAAAGAACCTGACTTTGCAACTCAACTGAAAATACAGCTGCATTGCATCTTAGCTGTGTCAGCAAGTATATGCTGTGTGTGAGATAGTTCTATTGTGAGCTTACGTATGCATTATGTTTGTAAAATATACTACCATACAGAATGCCTTACCCGTCCAATTTTTCTGTGATCTCTGTTTTTAGCCTCCTCCTGGAATTTTTCCCATTCCTTCAACATTTTTGCATCTGGGAATGAAATTCCATAGATTCGCTGGAGAGATTCCATATCAGCCTTGCCTTCCCAGTAAGTAGATGAATTCTGTGCACAAAAAATAAATGAAACAATGAAGAAAAGAAAGAGCCTACACATTTTATTGCTCTTGCCTGTTGTAAAAGGCACACATAATTAAACAAATTACTGTTCAATATAAATATGGCATGAATACACTTTTAATTATAAAAACACAGTGGTGAAAAAAGAAATGTACAAAGAAGAGCTGAATTGTAAAAACCAGTTTCAGGCCCTAAGTGGTCCTTTTTTTTTTTCTTCCTCAAGTCTACTATCTCCCTCTGAAGCCATCCTATTTCATCTGCTCTGTTCACACTGAGCCACAACCATCAGCTAAGCTAAAACAAGAACTCTCACTGATACATCCCAACCAAGAATTAAGCCATATCCACTTCCCAAGATGTGCTGGAAATGATGTCCCTGGCCATCTATTTCTTATAGCACACAATCCTTTGCCAGTTGGTTAAACTGAGTTTATGGCCAGGTTATCCACTTCACACTATGCTCCTGGATAATCTACTGCTGTACTGCCCAAACACAGCAACACATGTCAATTAACACATTTGCCTAGAATAGTTTCAGTCATACCTTATGAATTTTTATGCTCTTTATCTTGCCAGTATGCCTAACGTGAGGTCCTCTGCATAAATCTATCAAGGGACCACATCTAAAAATAGAAAAAAACATCTGTTTAGTATATTGAATCATAGCAAATTATACCTAGTAATACTATGCATGCATAATTACCTGTATACTGTTGTAGTTGGGGTATTGACCTTCTCATTCAGGATGCGACACTTGAATTTGTTATACTGAAAAGAAGAGAACCACACATTTATTAACTTCTTGTTAGGCAGTATAGCTGATCAGCAGTTTAGGCTTTTTGCAAACTCGATGCTACAGTACATCAAAAGACACTTTGCTCTATAACATGGTGCTCCTGTTGAACAGAATAGCAAGCAGTACCTGAGGAACCTGATCCAGCTTCAGTGATCACACAGACCACAAGAGTGGACTGAAGACCTATTAAGGCCTCTTCCACTCTGAACAATACTGATTCTCTTTAGAGTCTTAATAGAAAAAACTGAGTAACCTCTATTTGAAGAATGTCAGGAAATTGTTTACAGCTAGTTACAAAAAAGAAAAAAAAAATTTATTCTTGCTTGATAATCTCATCCTTAAAATATTTTATGAAGCTTTCTGAATGCACCAGCATACACAGTTCAGTATCAGCACACCATATTACCACAGCCAATGTAATACAAGTGCACATTTGCAAATTTACATCTGTGGAAAATGAATGAAGAACGCCGATTCAAACATATTGCCAAGATCACCCAGTACAATTTTCACAGCTGGAGAAAAATCGATTTATTTGTGAGAATCTAAATGATAATTTTACTTTTTTTTTTTGGTAAAATATCACAAATGAGTTTGTAAGAACACATCTTCAAAAACGACTTTGAAAGACCTTCCTCTATCACTAACAGAACAACAGAAAATGTGGCTAAAGTTACAGATACTCAGTGTAACTGCATGGTGTGCTAACAACACTCAAGAACAACTTACCTTAAACATTTCAAGTAGTGTTTCCTTCTTAACTTCCAGTCTTTCAAAGGGTTGCTTTTCCTTCATGATCTTTTTGCACAGCGTTTCCAAAGCAGAGAAGTCATTACTTGATACACCTCTAAAATAAACAAGCAGAAGAGCACAACACTCTCACTTGCACTTGTGATTTCTCATCTGTTTGCAAGTAACCCAGGCTTTGATATAACCATCGTCTCCCTCAGTTGCTAAAAAAAGAAAAAAATATATAAAACCTACCCATCCTCAAGGAACATGTCGTAATAAAATCCATTTTCTATTGGTGGTCCATAGCACAAACATCCACCATAAATTCGCTCCATAGCTTCGCCCATAATGTGTGCACTTGAGTGCCAGTATACCTAATGGAAGTAAAAAAAAAAAAAAGGGGGGGGGAGGGAGGGAATAAGTCCAAATATGCACAACACATTTCTGAATATTTTAAATAAAATATTTTCTGAACGCTTGCTTCTGAGGGTACTTCATGCAGACCTCATATTATAGCAGTCTTCAGAACATCAACGACTTGCCCAGAAATACTCCTATCCTAAGCTCCAGTATTTCCAAAGAAATACTGGATTTTTTTAATTTTACAAACCGAAAGCATATAATTCTTCTTTCCAGCCTCTGTTGAAATGATTTAGATTTGTCTAGAAGTCAATAAACTAATCCAACATCTTTTTTTCTATCAACTGCAATTGATTGGCTCTGCTGACACACAGCATAAACATAAAGGTGCATTTGCAACACAAGGCCACAGTCCTACAAACATTTAAAAGTATGGGAAGTCCTGCAGTGATATAAAACCAGTTTAAAGCTAAAAAACTACTCTTTACCTTGTAGTGCACCTAAAGGGTTAGCAAATTAAAGCTAAGATTGTAAGACCTGACCTGTAAGATTTAACTCTGCTTTTACTTGCACAAGTCAGAGAACAGTAGATCAGTATTACAGAAGTAATCATTTAGTTGGCATGAAAATCCTACATTTGAACACAGGATCTCTGCTGCAATGAATTTGCAGTTTCTTAATCAAATTACTTTTTCTAAAAGACTGAATTTACAAATTCACTGGGTATCCACACTTAGATGAATGAGTAGCCAAAAGAAAATATGTACTTCAGTATATAGAAAAAATACAAGAGCAACTTACTCAGCAGATTGATATTCGTACTAGCAATTCTGTACCCATCATTGCTCGCACAGCCAGTGCTAAAGTGGTTGGTTCAGAAGATTTACGTAACATTAAGGCTGTAAATATCACACACTTTGCATAACTACAGCAACAGTTAGCACACTTCATAACAAATACACTGACTATACATTATCTCAATACCATGTCTTCCTAAGGAACCATTACAAAAAATGAGATGTACCTCCACAGCGTATCTTTCCCCTCCCTCTCTCCTCCCTTGAGCACAGTTCAGATGCTAGCACCTGCTGGAGGCTGGGTTTAACGCAAATCTAAAAGCAAACAAATTTTAGCTAGCAGATACTCACTGCTTGAGCCTCTTCATCCTCAAACTTGAGCAGCTCCAAGGTGCAATCCTCCTCTAAAGGACGGTCTAAATCCCAAACCATCTTATTCACTTTAGCAATAATAGTGTTGTCAGCTAAGCCCTGACTGAAAAAAAAAACAAACAAAAAACATAGTATATAATTGTTTAAAATCAACAAGCAGAAGTACTCAAAATTTGCTCCACTAAATTATCAGATACTGTTCCTAATGCAGTCATTCTACAGTTCCTCTAGGCAAAAACACTTTCCTTGATTCCAAATCACAAAAACAAAGCAGATTCCAATGACAAAGTATTAAGACATTAATTAGTAATAATAATAAAATGGTGGTATTTCACCTCTAGGAATCAAACAGTTTTCATAATTCTAATTGATAGGGTGTCCAGCACACATTGTTCAAATCCACCTCACAAGATATGCGAGTCAGCTGGAAATGGGTTCTTTCTGATAGGTATCTCCCATGCCATAGAAGTATAATTAAGCAAAATACATTTCTAATGTTAGCTCACTCTAGAAGTCAACTGAAACATCACCCAAATCATCTTACCCAGGTCCACAAAAACTAATTTTGCATTTGCTAATGTTAATGATCACAGCCACAATTTGCAGATGTAGATCAGTCTAAAAATTACTAAGCATATAATAGGATAGAATCATACCTAATTCCACAAGCAATTTGATAAGGTGTAGTCCTCCAGGACTCAGCATCAACCAGCTTGCCATCAGGTAATGTAACTTTAATGGGTTTACTATCATTAGCAGCTCGCTCTGCAAGAAGTGCATCGTGCTCAGCTTTAAGTTTATTGTACATCTCTAAGCGCTCATTGATAAATGCAGGCCAAGGATTTAGCTACACATAAAGAATAAAGGTACATTCAAAAGATTAATACCATGTGATGTCAAGAATGTGAACAGCATATACATATCACAGAGGCCTATGTGACTGTCTGCAGCTATGCGCGTGCTATGCCTTAACAGACAACTATCACAATGACATAGTAATATTATACATACCACAGTGCATCTGTTTAATATATGCATAAGATATATTAATGAACTACTAGATTAACCCCATGCTTAAACTTGTAGCAAATGCTAGTTTAACACAGTACAAAAGGAAAAAAAACTATTTGAAAAGCTTGTTGAACAGGTCCTGCTCTGACGTCAGGCTGTCAGTGCAGGCACCACGGTGCAGATGGCTGCAGTTCAGAGCTGGCCAGCAGCTCTGTGCCCACTGTTTACTCACACCAACCACAAACGGAAGCAGCAAAGCATCTCTGGCAGGCTTTCATCGCCCCACAGACCTGCTGCCTATCTCCTGCTGCTGGTGGGATCCCCAGCTGGCTGCATCATGGAGCAGCAGCCACAGAAACCGGAGCTGCTCTCCCCTGACAAGAATATAACCTGCTGTCAAGAGCAACAAAGCCACCTCATGGTAAACTCTGCTGAACTAAGAAACAGCAGGGAAAGGAATTACTGCAATAGCAGATGAATGAATCAGACGGGTGACATACAGCAGTCAACAGTATAAAAACTACATCTTTCAACACCCCATGGCCTGACATGGGCTCACCTCTGCACGCCCTTCATCACCACATGCTTCTTTCATTTTCTTCTTCCCGCAGTCGGCCTTTTTTTCTTCCCCAGCATTTACCTATAAGAGAATCATGAAATAGTAGAATGGCCTAAGTTGAAAAGGACCACAAAGATCATCCAGTTTCAACCCCCTGCTATGTGCAGGGCCGCAAACCACCAGGCCAGGCTGCCCAGAGCCACATCCAGCCTGGCCTCCAGGGATGGGGCATCCACATCGTCCTTGTGCTGCCTGTTCCAATGCCTCACCACCCTGTGTGAAAAACTTCTTCCTAATATGTAACCTACATCATGAAACACACACATCTCCTCATCCTCCAGCAGTTTCTTGCACTCTACCCTAACCCCACACACTGGGGCACAGTCCTGCGAAGCCCGCCCGGTACGCAGCCAATCCCACCCCCCTCTCCCGGAGACCCGAGCACCCCGGAGGCTTCATGGAAGGCTCACGGAAAAAGGACCGAGCCTGCCCGCCTCTCCCCAGGCCTGCCACCGGGAACCCCCGCCTCAGCACGGCCCCGGGAGCGGTGAGGGAGCGCAGAGCCATGCGGCCCCCCGGTGCTGCTCGCCGCACGCCCCATCGCGGCGCGAGGCCCACCTGCCCGTCAGCGCCAGCCATGGCCGCCGCGTGGAAGGGGTGGGTGGGAAAGGCTGGCAACGACGCCGCGCAGGCGCGGCCCGGCCGCCGAAGCTGATGCAACCGGGGGCGGCTCTACCGAGCCGAGCCAATAGGACCGAGCCGAGTCGAGCCGGGACCGGAGCTGAGGCGTGTCCAGGCGGCCGCGTGGGCGTGGCGGAAGATGGCGGCGGTGCCATTGGGGGCCATGAGGGCGGGAAGCGGGGCGGCGTCCCATCCCCACCCCCTTTGCGGTCTTGCTGTCTTTTCTCCGTCGGGGAGATTCGAGGCAGGGCTGCGGGGCAATGGAGCGCCGCCACGGGGAGGAGGCTGCTTTGGGGTCTGCTTCTCTCTCTGCTTCTCTCTCTGCTCACCTGGTCTCAGCCTCAGAATCTGCTAAGGATAGATTAATTAATTTGAGTGATTTTTTTGCAAAGGAGACAAAAATCGAATTGACCTGACTAGTCTGATTCCCAATTAAAAAAAAAAAAAAAAAGAAAAGAAAAAAAAGAATAAAAAATTGATAGACATTTTGAAGAAATCCTAGCTTGGGCAGAAAGGTGCAGTCTGGAGGACACTTGCTGTCAGCAAGGGCTGGAGGTCTCTGATTTCTTTCTCTGAGAAAAGGCTGTGGTATTCATGCACAACTTCTTGCTATTGCAGCCTTCCTCCTCACCCTAGTGGTATTTTCTATATGAAAATAAATAGTATTTTCATTTAGGAAATGTGCTTTTTCTCAGTGTGTTCTCGTGGCCGTGGAATTCCACGTGGAATCCTGTTGAAGGCCTTAGGTTTGTCTGGTCAAGTGATGGGGCATAGGAAAGACGTTGGTTACAAAATTCCACACTTCCAAAAATTTCAGACATAGTTCTTACTGGAAGGAGTCTCACAAGAGTCAAAATCAGAGGTCAGGAATACAGCTCTGTCCACTGGCTGCCTGGCATCCCTTCTGCTTCCTGGTGTACAAAGACGTGTAGGATGTTTCCCCTTAATCTACTGCAATGCTTTGGAGCTTGGGAGTATTTAATCAAAATATTCCTATATGAATGTCAGAACACTTTGGAGTCTTCAGCCTCTGGTGCTTTGAGGAAAAAGATGAGAAAAGTTATGCAGTTTTGTATGGCTTTCTTTGATATGGGTGAGGTAGTTTAGAGTAGCTCGAAATACAGATCTTCTTATATGTTTAAAATAGTCAAAAAGGAAGATGTAGTAAATATGAGTTTAAAAGACAGAATCAAGTCTGTTAAATAGACCTGAATAATTTATTTGCTATCTACAAGTAAAATATCAACTGAATATTGGAAAAACTTCCTTTCATGCTTCAATTAATGATATATATAAGTTGTCTTGTAGGAACACAGTCTAATAATACAAAGATATATTTTTTAAAATACTAATTTTTAGATTTTCTGTATCTTCTAAAATACTTTTTGTGTTTTGAATTCCAGTTGAGTCAAGAAATGATGCAGAATAATCAAACATTTCAAAAGTGGTGGCAGGAAAACTTTTGTCTTTTGCCAGAAGATGGCAGCAGTGAAACATACTGTGCTGACTGGAAAAGCATTTCAGAGCATGTTGTCTTCATAACTTTTGATTTTAGATAATGAGATTTAGGGCATTAAACAAAAATCTCTAGAACGCTGATGAATGGTTTCCTGGATTTACTCTTAAGCAGCAGAATTAAAGATATGTTTTTGAATTCATCTAGGTTCAAAGCCAGTGAAATTGATTTGAATGTGCTTTAATCATTATCACCAAGTGAATGTTTGGATGTATTTGCTTACTTTGAAATGTGTTGGAAGACAATGTTGGAGAGTTTGATTGGAATAAGACTTTGGTTTCTGTTTTGTTTAGGAGAACTAAAAATGGCAGATAGATATAGATATGCTAAAATGTAGAAATAGCCACCTGTTTATGTCAGGGATTTAAAATACATTGTTAGAATCAAGGTCTAGAGAACTGCCAGAAGCCCACATCAAGGGAAGAGCCATCAGCTCCCATTAAAATTAATGCAGACTGGAGAATCTCAGAGTAAAAATCTTTTTGTGCAGTTTTCTGTTGTGTTAATTTTAACTGGACTGCTGTAACAAAGCAGTAAACTTCTCAAAAGTTCAGTAAAGCAAGCATAGAAACCATAAAGTTAACGCATAAAGGAAAAATTAAGGAAGCTGGCATTAAATGTCAAATACCTGTGAAAAGAAATGCAGCCTTGATTCAAACTGGCACATACTTGGAAAATTGAATTAAAGCCTTTGCCCTTTTGTATTTGTTCAACATTGATGGCCTTATTCTCAAAATAAAATAGTTATATTTTTAGGAGGATAAGAAAAATGACTTGTCTTTCATGCAATGAAATGACCCGGTTTCATTTTGTCTCTATGTAGGACAGCTTCATGTACAAGTCATTGTTTGTATGTAGTTTTGTATGTAGTTATGTATTTTGTATGTAGTCCTTAGGGTACCAGAAGATTTGCTTAAGCCTTCTAACCGTTATATTTCTCGCAAAAGAGATGCTGCTTCTCTCTTGCTATGGAGCAAATCCATTCTAATAGCAGCAATTCCCATACTATCTGTACAATGGAAGCATATTCTACGCAGTGACAGCTTATCCCATCTCTGTCCGAGAATGCAAGTCCTCTTCAGTTTTCCTTCAGCCATCCTTCATATCTGCGGCTGTGAGGATAATGCATTCAAATTAGTCAGTACTGAGGGAAGATACAGGTTTGGTTTGTTGTCTACCACCAAGCTTGCTTGTTTTGTTTGTTTGTTGGATTTTGTTTGTTTGTTTGCTTCATTAAGGTAACAGTATAGGCTGTATTTGATCAAATGTGGGAGACATCCAGTTTCTTTGTTCATGGTTACATATGCTAGGATCACGGGTTAAAAATTTTTGGTGAATAAACCAAGATTCATTCCTTGACGTTGCAGCAAAAGGCCCCTACTAGGATTAGTTAGGCTTTTTAAAAACGTGGGACAATAGGTGATATTTCTTTTCTTGAATAAAATCTAGTGCCTTCTACCTCAGTAACAAATGTGCCAGTGGTAATTCATGTCTCATGTTTCCCTTATACTTCAGAATTAACCCTGCTTCACTTGGCTGAAGAGTTCTGGTTTACTTACAGTTAAGTCAACAATATTTTGTTATCTCACAGCGTGAAAAGTAATAGTTTTTCATTCAGTCAAAGTCAGATCCTAGAAATCATACATGTCATTTTGAAGGGAGCATGCTATTAACCCAAATGGCATATTCAGGATTAAGACTTCTGCATTTACAATAAAATGTCCCCTTTACATTATCACTAAAAAGATTTGCACTTTAAAGTGTTAAAAAAAAAGAAAAAAAAAATTACGAAAACAACCACCCACAAGCAAACAAGCAAAAAAAACCACCACAGAATGCCTATAAAACCATTTTTTGTTTTTCACAGAAATTTCTTTTTGGGTATTTGTTTCGGGAGAAGATAGACTTCCTATGTCTGGATTTGTGATTCTCACTCTATTCTCCACTCCAAATCTTATGAGTGGACTGTGAGATGAAGATTCAGAGCTCCTACCTTCTGTTTCTTGCTTAGTTAAGATAAGATTGTGAGACAATATTTAAAAAGGGAAATAAAATGTTAGCATTGTTATATATTCAGGAGAAGAAATGACAAACTACAAAAATTAAAATAAGATTTTTAACTGTCTTTAATTGCACCTTAGGCGTTTTCAGTATCATTTATTTTATTGCCCGAATATGTTACCAGTTTCTTTTTTTTAGGCATGACTCAAACGTTCTGGTGATTTTCCTATGAACATCCTTTTTTAATGACATTTCATGGACACATCCCAATAATATTGCTTCAAGTAAAAACATTCAAGATGATCCAAATTGGGCCATCTTCTACTGTGAATTTCGTCAAACCACTCTTGATGAGTCATGGAAAGGCATTTTTCTTTGTGTCCTTACTATTTATTATCTTAGTAAAATTATTTCAAGATTCTATAACTACAGAGATGGAGGATAGAACATTTTCCTAATTTTATAGGAACTACCAGAAGTTGGATTTTTGAGGGATTCGCTCTTAGATATTTAAAGGGGAAGATACTCTGAGAGGAGTTTAAAATTTGATTTATTCACAGTCTACCTGGAAGAATGAAAGAAGGAGTCTTGGCAATAAGTCCATTAGTTCCATATGGAAGGAGTGTAGTACCTCTTTACAGTCTTCTCTTTTCTAGACTAAGCAAACTTAATTTTTGAATCTGTCTCACAAGACATGGTTCCAGACTCTTGTTCTTCCCTTCTGAACGGTCCTGTTTATCTGTGTTTCTCTCATAACAGTGTTCCAAGAGAGCAGAGAGGACTATTACTCATACCTGACACGAAGCACTTCAGATAATTTAACAATATCATATCTTTCACTGTCTTTCAATTAATTGTCAGCCCAGTATTTATCTTGGCATGTTCACAAACTTCTAATATAATACCCCTTCCTTATACAACCTAATGACTTTTTGGACTGGAACCAGGAGAGAATGTTCTTGAAATTTCTGTCCAATTTAACTCAGGTAGCTGTAGTACTTTAAAAAAATATATATTTATGCCAGTTTCATCTAACCATGCAAGAATTCAGTAAGCTAATTCCGAACACACTAATGCAGACATTTTGCTGCAAATAAAATGATCATTTACCATAAGGGTGGTGAGGCACTGGAACAGTTTGCCCAGAGAAGTTGTGGATGCCCCATTCCTGAAGGTGTTCAAGGCCACATCAGATAGGGCCCTGGGCAGCCTGATTTCATGGGTGGTAACCATTCCACCACAGGGATTGGAGCTGGATGGGCTTTAAGGTCTCTTCCAACTCAAGTCACTCTATGATCCTATTAGTCTTTGATTGCCAAGGCTATCTGCACTTCTCATTTCTCTCATATCTCTCTGATCTTTCCCCATTCATTTGTCAAGATTCTGGCCCTGTCTTCAAGTGATTCTATCATATCCAACGCTGTATGAGGAAAGCACTACATTGTTGTATATGGCACATACTTAGACAGCCTGTGCTGGTAGGCCCTATTCCTAAAGGCTTCCTTTCATAAAAATTGTATGGTCCATTACCCTTTTAGACAGTGGTACTGTTTAATGTCT